CCGGAGGTGGTAGAGACTTAAACAAAGATAAAAGACTTAGCTGAAGAAGTGGCCTCAGGATATCAAAGATCCTGGCGGATTCTATGCTACAAAGGAGGAGGATGCACGAGCGAATGCTCCAAGCAACCAATGCCTGCAATCATGTGAAAGCATACCTGCGGAACAGGCAGACCAAAGATGGTGACACTCTCGAGCATGTTACACTATTGGTCTCAAGCCACTACATAACAGTTAATGCTAAACATTTATCACTACTGTTTATCAGGTAAACTGACTGCATTCCTAGTGGCGCGTAGATTTGCATTAAAAGCTCGGCTCTCCATGACTGCAGTTAAATTGATGTTATAAGAGTTCCGAGACATTCTTCCGCAGCTGCCCTCCGATCCGCGTACACTGTTGTCCACTCCCAGGTGCACACCAAAAGTTAGTGTGGATGATGGTGCATATATACATTTCGGACTGCAAGAGTGCCTGCGGCGCATATGCGAGGGCAGAAGTGATAGTTGTTACCGGCTACAATTGCATATTGATGGGTTATCGTTATTCCGTGGCTCATTACATCAAGTTTGGCCAATTTTGGGTCGTCTGTTGTACCCAAGATCTAAGAGATTTATTGTTGGTTTGTATTGTGGGATGTCAAAGCCGACTGAAGTTCGCGTGTTTCTAACTCCATTGATTTAAGACCTTCGACTGTTGATGGAAGACGGTTTCTTGGATGTGGAATACGGTCGCGAGCATAGTATGCAGCTAGACAGTGTTATTGCTGATGCTCCTACTAAGGCATTGGTGAAACAGATTAAACCACACACGGGCTATTATTGTTGTCCATTTTGCACTCAGAAGGACAGCAGTTGTTCTCGCCAAATGGTGTTTAAAGCCCGTGGAGGTAAACTAAGGACGAACTACGACTTCCGTCTGCGATTGCAAGATGACCATCCCACTGAATTAACTTTATTTGACCAGATTCCCATTGATATGGTCAGCACGCTTCCCACGGATCATATTCATTCTGTGTGCCTGGGAATAATGAAACGACTGCTCAGTTTGTGGCGTAAACCTGGTGGAGACAAACGTCCACCCATAGGTGTATCCCATTGGAAAACCTTGGGAGAACACTTATAGCTGGCATGTCAATCACTCACATGTGAGTCCCCCCGAAAATACCGTGTTTTGGGTGATATTGAGTTTTGGAAGGCCAAGGTACACTGCATAAACTCTCTCATCCAGGTATTCCAGCCATTTCAGCACTAGTCAGCCAACGTTTTGTCTGGCAATCCATGCAAAAAGATGGCGCAGTTGGACGCGTTGCTGTTTGGCGTGCCAGACATCTAAGGTGACCGCACACACTAGTAGCCCTCTTTGTGCTTTTGGCACTCTCGATGCTAGGTTCGGTCACGTACACTTAGATATAGTGGGACCGTTACCGCCATCGTAAGGTTTTACCTACCTTCTGACCTGCGTAGATCGTTTCACGCGCTGACCAGAAGCAAATTCGATCACCGACGTCTTGACTGGAACCGTAACCAAGGCTTTCTTTGAGCGTTGGGTAGCGAATTTCGGGTGCCCTACTACGTTGACTACAGACAGCAGCCCTCAACTTGAGTTCGCATTATTCAACTCGTCAACGGCCACGTTAAGATGTCAACGTATACGTACCACAGCATATCAATCGGCCGCTAACGGCCTCGTCGAGCGTTTCCATCGACAGCTTAAAGTTGCACTTAGTGCACATTCCGTCATTTCATGGACGGAAGCACTTCTACTCGTCCTACTTGGCATAATAAATTCCATCAAAGACGACCTCAAGAGCACGCCGGCCGAACAAGTATACGCGACTACACTCCGTTTTCCCGGAGAGTATTTTTCCGCACACCAAACTTCGATACAAGCATCACCGAATTACGTCCAACGCCTTACTCATCACACGCGTGAGTTAACCCCAGCCATCACTCACCCACAACAAAAAGCAGTCTTCAATCATCCAGATTCGAAGACTTGCACACACGTTTAGGTCCGTTGTGACGCAGTATGCAGACCCCTGCAGGCTCCATATACTGGCCTTTATCGCATACTTCGACGTAGAGAAAAACAGATAGTCATCGATAGGAACGGTCACCGTGATGCTATCTCCATCGATCGCAAGAAGCCAGCTTACACAGACGCAACGTCCGTCACGACAACCCCTTCCAACCCCAGGGCCAAGGATACCACCACACCGATAGTCTCCACCCCACTGTCGACCACGCCAGATTCCAAAATTCCTCTAACCCCGGCAACATTACCCCTCACCTCCACCATGTTCTGCTTAAGCTGGTTCAGACCCCAGAACCACTCGTACCGAACCTTCGGTCCGTATTCCAACTCGCTTTGTGGAATGTTTTTATTCCTAACGCATTAAAAATACGTGTTAGTATATTATTTACGTATATACCTTTATATATATGCAAAAACAAAACAAAAATGGTTTATTTGGCCTGCCAAAGGCGCACCTGTTTATTGGTTTCTTTGTCATGCGTTACTGGTACCGTACTCAGTATCTTTTGTTTTGCTTACACTGTAGAACTGAGGAACGTTTGTTTTCGCCTCATGAGCATTTCTCTATTCATATGTGTTGATTGGCAATCTTTTGCCGCTTTGTACGTCTTGCACCTTGAATTCTACAGGGCTTATTATTTTTGTATTAGAACCAATAGCCTAGATGGCTTAGGACGGGGTTGACGTTGCTCCTTATCTCAGCGTTGTCGTCCACCCGTATGGCATTCTGTTATTGCGACGTCGTGGAATCTTTCCACCCTAAGAAACTGACTCGAGATCAAACACCAACCCTCTGCTGCACACGGGCACAACATTCACAGTTACATACATTCGTACTCGTAATACGTTCCATCATTACTTGCTGTCGTTGAAAATTCACACATGAATTGGAAAGTAACTATTCCAGGCGACACTCGGAGAATTCATTTCCCGTTCACATTTCATCCAGTCATGCATACACGCATTAACCTTCACCATGCACCATAAACTGGACAAAACTGTTCCGCGTACCTATGGAGGATCTGTAGTGACACGCCAATTTCACCTTTTACCCACAACTTCTTTTCTACGCGCAACGAGCTTTTGTTTTACTGGGTGCACCTTACCTGTTTACGATCAACCGCGGAATTGACACTTGTCCCGGTGAGTCACGCTGCATCACTACTCGTGTAGACCTTCCACTGCAGGTCTCATCCTATAAACCGTTGGTCACGAGCTATCTGTCTTCTTACTCGTTCGAGCAATAGTCGTATTGCTCTTTGTCATACTCGATCATTGAGGTAAATTGTGTTTGGTTATCGTAGATAGTGTTAGCTAACTAACGATCCACCTCCTTTACATCATTGAGTAACCAACTGGTAGTTTCACTCTAGACCAAAGTGCGGCGAAAATTAAGGGCCTCTGTGGTCATAGTTATTACACTAACCCATTCCGGATCCTCCCTAACCAACTCCGATGCCCTGTCTCTAAGATTCCCTAGATCCATACAACCGAAATTTCTAATGAGCTTGGATGGTCCCCTAGCTTGCCGCATGCACACTTTGATCAGTAGGATGACTTGGTCGCTTTTACCAAGCGGTGGATGCGGCTGTAGCGCCATGATATCATTTTGTGTGGTGATTGCTAGATGTAGCTGGGACGGAGCATTACCTGACCTGAATCTAGTGCTTTCTCTAACATGTTGCTAAAGGACGTTTCATGCAGCCATTTGATATGGTCCTCTTCTGNCTGCTGTTCCTCGGGTGCATACCTCAGACCTCCTGTATATGTGGTGGGTTGAAGTCACCAACAATGGCACATACAAACTAGGTAGCTGTGACCACTTTCTAAACCGAACCTCTATCAGTGCACCGATTTAGCTTCAAAGCTATATCTGTGGAACATATTCCACCTTGGTACATGCAGAACTATTCTTCACTTTGATGTCGCCCGAGTGATTATGCCAAACTTCGTGGTCTATTTCGCTGCATGCCAATCGGTTATATATTCGCTTTTACGTGTACATACCTAGCTGTACATATACAAGTATAAATACAGGCATATACCACCCCTATTATTCCACTTTGCCCATTGATTTGTGACATGCTGTCTCTCCCCTTATCCCTCCTCAGCTGTGTATTACCCCAGACTGTTCAGTATGACTCTTTTTTTCCATATACGGTTGGCTTGGACCTGTCGAAGGCTTGGGATCCAAACCCACAATGGAAAACTTTGGCCCTGGCAGTGGTTACTGGGCATGGATGTATCCACGGTTTTGTCTGCATGCGTCCGCATCCCGGTAAACGTATGAACTCGCTGTACTCCTTCTTATTTATCCTTATCTTTGTGACTCCATTTTTTCGTCTATTGTCCGAAATTCTGTCTCTCCATATCTTCTCCCATTAGAGACGCACTCCGTTTCCTCACGATAGCGGGTTTACGGTTACTTCAATTTCGATTCATATGCCTATACAGCACATTCTTCCATCCTCCACACCAACGTTTGTGACCTCGTCCGCTTTGTGTTCCGTTTACACAGCGTTTTCGTCCTGCTCCCCTACTATCTCCAGTATGTACGTCTTCCAAATAGTTTAGCTATTTACCTGTACCGTCATTGTACATATGATTATTTTGAACATGTGATCATGCCTTGTGCATGCTTCACGGCCTTCGTGAAATATACATTATTATTATTATTATTAATAATAATGATAGCTTTGTTAGCTTTCTTTACTATCCCCGTGGGGGCACACAGCAGTTGACTATCTTCTTCACGGTTTGTATTCGTGTACATAAACACAGAATACCTTGACCCTTCTATTCTTGAGTAATATGGTTACCGTGTGCATTGATCCTGTGAAAATCCTTCCTGTAAAGCCCAGTCATTCCATCTCGGTTCCACATTTCGTGAATTCTACGTTCCATTCACCAAACCTGATCCGCCTCACATACATATAGACATTTGACGTACCACTCCCCTTGTATATTTACACATCAATCCTACCATTTGACTTTGTTTGTTTATCTGCT